CCTCGTCTATCGTGATTTCCCAGAGTTCCTTGGGGACCCCCAAGGCCTTGCCACACAAATTTTACCAAGGGAAAGGCAGGAGATCCCTATGGACTCGGTAACAATAGAGGTTACGTACTTCCTGAATTCATGGTCGGCTTTCAGTTGATTAATGAGGTCGCCTGAAGAACAATTTTGACGTCGTGTTTCATGCCTAAAGAAAACTGCAAGGGTTAATTATTTGTGAAAATTTAATGGAATTTTTTCTCTTTTTAACATCAATTGTGTAAGACTACTGCTTCAGTTTCATGACTTATAAAAGAAAGTCATGTTTTGTTGCCACGTATCCAGTTCAGAAACGTTTTCTTTAAATCCTTTTCGACATTGGACGACTGAGTCGGATAGAAGCCGTTGATCGTTTGCATGAAAGATCTATTCAAAGATAGGCAGCTGTGACTTGTTTCAGTAAATGGGTAAAGTTTCTAATCCAAGGTCAAATCTATGTTGTCAAAACTCTCTTCGCTGCACGAGAACGTTTCAAGGAAATTATTTTTTTCAAAACCTTGACTCGCTCATAACAACGGTAGGCCTTGTGCCTATCAATTTATTCAGTTAGTCCACGGTGAAGGAGCCGTAGGCGATTCAAACAAGATAAATAAATGTTTCGTGAATCAGTCCCTTTGGTACAGACAGTTACATGAAATGCTATTAAGTAAAAAAGTAACCCGGTGGGGTGGGTCAAGTGGCCATTCGCACACAAGACCTGCGATATAAATAGATTTAAATAACTGGTATTTATGAGAAAAAAAATCAAAACAAAACACAATGAAATAAAAATAAACGATGAAAAGAAAAAGTAAACGTCTTTTCTAAGTGTTACTGTTTTTGGTACCCCTGATAAAGCTCCTCCGGTATGAAGTCGAACAAAGCGTTTTGTACACACTTGCATATTATTTTACATACTCTCATATAAACACGATGGGTGTTGGGAGAATCAATCAACTCCTCAAACAAAGTCCGTTGAGCTTAATTTTCAATATCGCCTTGAGCTAAATACAAAAAACCTTTGTTACACTTGCCTAAATAAGGCAAACAAATTTGCAAATTACCAACTTATAAACTCAGTCTCAATGCATACGTCAAGATTTACAAACTTCTGTCGGGTGAAGCTCTTTCAGTTTATTTCCAATTGACTATTTGACCGGAAATATTTGATTTAAGAAAAGAAAACGAGACTTTGTCTTAGCAAAACAAAAAATTCAGTGCTTGAGATTAATTCTAATAATAGTGCTTGTCATTTCTTACATCAAGAGGGTGAATTGAATTGAAGTAAGACCCTCCTTAGGACATTTACACTGTAGGATAGAATTATGATGATGGTAATGATTCAACCAAGATAGAAAACCTCCACTTCACCAGGTGTGAAGTAGTTAGTCCAAGCCAGGATTGTTTTTCTGTCCTTTAGTCAACTTGGGACTGAATAAGAATGGCCGAAGTTTGTTTGGGAGTATTTTATTTTGTTTGCTCTATAGCTGATGTAGGTGTCGTAACCTCCACCAATAGTTGGACCGCGAAGCATATACGTGTAAATGGCATACTGTGGCCACCTGAAAGGTACCTATGCCTCCAGACTCTAAAGAATAAGGTATTCGAAATTAAAAAATTATTAACAAATTAGACTTCAACTTCCTTTTGATCATGGAAAATAAAGCTTTTCTTCTAATTTCAATTCCTTAGGGAAACAGGATGCGTTTTTGCGTGCCGCAACGCTGAGAGAAAGGGCCTGCTGGCAAGATAACGGACCTTTAAAGATTGGCTAAGAACTCCTTTGTTCCTCTTTTTTTAAACCCAAGCGTGCCTCGTGGAGGCTCATTGGGGAAAACGCACCGGAGAACTATCACTTCCGCGCGAAGCAAATATTGCTTTCTGAGAACATAAGGGGTTGATTGCCTAGTGGCTCCCAATGCGATATACAATGTAGTGGTAATAGAGTGCCGAAGTGTGACGTCATGTTACCATGGTAGCATTTTTGCTGGATCTAAACACTATTTGGCGTCTTTCGTTACATCTCATCATAAAATGGGCCAATGCTTCGTTCCCGACTGCAATCATCAGTCAGAAAGTCACAATTGCAGCTTTTACCGTTTCCCCAAAGATCCTGCTCAAAGAAGAAAATGGATTTCTCTAATAAGGTAGGTTGATTTTTGGTACAATGACCACCATGATGCACGGCCACGTGTCGGTTATAGTTACGCGGAAGATGGTTTTATTTAACCACTCAAAAGTGCACTGACCTGTGGATTATACCTTTGAAAGACCTCTAGAGAGAAAAAAAGCTTTTTTTTACGTTATGATTAAAGTTTAAAACCTTCGTTTTCTCTCTCCAGACGAGCTGATCGTGAACCTGGCAAAGGCGCTCGAGTTTGTAGTTGTCATTTCCGAGGAAGTAAAGAAGAAGGCCCCGAGGTCTTTTCCTGGAATAAAGACAAACTATTTGAATCTCGAAATGCTCCAAAAAGGAAAAAGCAAAGAACTGAAGTCCCAGAGACAACGACTATCGAGCAGATCCTTTCAGAATCTTCGACGAAGAGCAACCAGAACGAGCCTTGCGAGCTCAGTTGCGAGGAGATGCAAATGAAATGCACTACTTTGCAGACTGAAAATATCCTGCTACAAGCAGAGCTAGGGACATTAAAGACCCAAGTATCCGAGTTGAAAGAAAAAGAAAGCTACTTAAAAAGAAACTACAGCTCTTTTAACATGGATTCAAAGGTAATCAACATGGAAACTGGCCTCCCAAACAAAGAAATGTTCCACATTGTTGTCGAATATGCCGAAAGATACCGCAACGATATTGTTTACGTGTGTGGCTGGAAAGTAGACAAGATATCTTTTGAAGATCAAATATTGATAACATTGATGAAGATTAGACATAATTATCATAACTTACATTTAGCTGAACTTTTTAGTTGCAGTACTGCTACAATAGCGAATATTGTGACAACATTTATCCATGTTTTGCACCAAATTCTATATGAAGATCAAATGGAGATAGCTGTTCCATCCAGACAAAAAAACAAAACTTCACTTCCAGGCTCATTTAGCTTATTTGGAGACTGTCGTATGGTAATAGATTGCACCGATATCGAGGTTGCTACACCTAAGCTTATGAGTGACCAAAAATTGACATATTCAACGTACAGGGGTATGAATTCTTTTAAGACAATTGTTGGTGTGGCACCCAACGCGGTTATAACTTATGTAAGTAAACTTTTCCCTGGCTCAGTATCAGATAAAGTAACGGTTCAAAAGTCAGGAATATTAAAGCATTTTGTTGCTGGGGATATTATACTTGCGGATAAAGGGTTTTTGATAAATGATATTGTTCCTAATGGTGTATATGTGAACATTCCCCCATTCTTGAACAATGGAAAATTTACAGAAAGTGAAGTTAAGTTAACAAAGAGCATTGCAAAATGTCGTATACACGTAGAACGTGCTAATGCTAGATTGAAGAACTATAAAATTTTAAATTTTGTAGTTCTTCAATCTAGCATTAGCACGTTCT